GGGGTGGAGAATGGTACAGGAGGAAGGATGGGATGAGACAGAGGATGGGACTGGATGAGGAGTGGAGGACGGGATGGTTGGGGGACGGCATGGGACAGGGCAGGATGGGATGGAAGACGGGATGGGATGGGAGGGAATGGGATGTGATGGAGGACAGCATGGGATGGGGGCTGCATGGGCCTGCCCAGTACTACCTGCTCCTTAACTCACCGCCCAGCCATAACCTGGAGATGAAGCACCTGCCCGGCGCTGACCCTGAGCTTGTGCTCCTCAGCCACCGCTACGAGGAGCTGGAGGTGAGCAGGCCGTGCATCGTCTGCTGCCACAGCAGGGCCTGGGGTGATCAGTGCCCTGCAGGCACCAGGCTGCAATCCCTGTCTGCGTGCAGAGAATCCCCCTGAGTGACATGACCCGGGAGGAGATCAACCAGCTGGTGCAGGAGCTGGGCTTCTACCGCAAGGAGACGCCGGATGCCCCCGTGCCTGAGGAGTTCCAGTTTGCCCCTGCCAGGCCTCTGCCCACCCTGCCATTCCACCAAGCTCCCACCGCTGATGGCAAGAACCCTCCCAAACATGACGAAGGAGAACACCCAGACCTCTAGCGGGGGGTGCCATGCTTGGGAGAGGGTCCTGCAGACAGTCACCAGCGTGCAGGGATAAGGCTGTTACAGCATCTGGGGACGGTACTGTGGGGTGGTGAAGGTGCCCCTGCCGATGCTTGGTGCTGTGTAGTCTCTGCCCCAAGGAAGCCCTGAGCAGCTCCAGCCTTGAGGAGAGGCTTCCTGGGCATTGTGGACCTGCTGCAGGTCCCATGTGCCTGTTGTTGTCCTCCCTCCCCTGCAGCCCAGCATCCCTGGCTGGTTGGGAGAAGCAGCGTTCTTTGTGCTCCCTTGCCATGCCCCGAGGTTTAGCTGACTCCTGGCGCTGGGCAGCGGTATCCTACCTGTATGGGACAGGATGAAACCCTCAGCAGAAAGCCCCAGGTGCTGAGGGTAGATGTGCTGAGTCCCAGAGGTGGGAGAGCTGTCCCTGGGGGAGCATGGCTTTACACCCCAGCAGGGTTGCCTAGTACTGAGCCCCCAGTAAAGCCCTTGCATACGATCGGCTGCACCATGTCGTCTTTCCAGGGAGGGCTTGGTGGGCTGCACCCTGCACTGCTCTTTGCAGGGTGCCGGGAGGAGCTGGGTGCCCCAGAGGCAGGAGGGCATGGCAGGGTCACAGGCACCGCTGGCAAGCCAACAAATTATCCCACAGACCAACCGTGCTGTTCTGTGCCACCCCCTCCCCAGCACAACGAATGGGTGGGTGGGTGGGGCACCAAGGGTTGGGATGAGCTGCTCTCACAGGGTGCAGGGGAATGGGTGCGAGCCCATGAGTGGGTCCTGCAATGCTGAGCAGAAGCCCGATGGCTGCGCTGGCCCGGTGGGGACATCCGGTCCTCGGCTGGGGAAGGGAGCAGGGTGTAGCTGCGCTGTTTGCAGACCCAGCTCCACGCAGTCTTGGTGGCAGCATGGGGGTCTCCTCTCCGTACCAGGCCTAGGGGCGGCACGGGGCAGCGAGCCACCAGCACTTGGTCAGGGTGGGACACAGATGGTGCCCCTTGGCTCCAGGCATCGTCCCTGAGCAGGAGCAGCACGTGCCCTGCATCTTCCCATCGGCCGGGTGGGCCATGGGGCTGCAGGCAGAGGGGTCCAGGAGCAGGCAAGGCTGCTACCACCCCCCCCCCCCCCCGCGCCGGGTGCGGCACCGTGAGAAAAACACAC